TGCTGCAAGAGTGCAGACATCAGGTGTCCCACCCAGAAGATCACATATCTAGCTGCGGTGGCGCTGCATAACTTTTGAGAGATGGTGGCATATTCTCGTGCATGGGGCTTCAGGATAGACGATGAGAATAATTTGCGAGAAGCCCGGTCTGCTACAGCTTGTGAATCGCACCAACCCTTGTAATTGTCCCACAGCATGCCCAGCTCAGCCTCGCGATTTCTCACATCGTCCGTCAGGTCACACAAAAGGCTGACCAGTACATCCGGAAATATTGCTAAGTGCAGGATGTGCATGACGTCAGGATATATACCTGCATGCTCGAGGGGGGACGGTAACTTAAGACATCTTGTCCCAGAATCACCTATATACCAAGCGATGCCCAGTTTCTTTCGGTCTAGCAGTCTATAACTTTAACGTAGAAAGTTGGAGGTTCCAATTACAAGCTTAAGGCTTGGTTGTGTGCAATGTACCGTATGGTATAACAAATAAGAACCTTGAAGACCGGTACAACAATAATGCTAGCAGCTAGCATGGTGCAAGTTGCGGTACGGGCAGAAACCACTAATCCTGGTCAGCGGCGATGAGCCGTGGATGGACTCGAACTCTTCGGCTCCTCCACTGACGAGCCTTTGCTTCACAAATCGGGTCGTCCTTAAATTATGGTTTTCGGGGTTATCGGATTATAAACGAGATATCTATTTAAAACCAACATATATATATATATATATATATATATGTGATCTGGTAAGTTGAGGAACGTTGCCCGGTGACGTGCCTGCTCTCCGAAGCTCGTATACAGAAGGGCTGGGTCGTTGGGAAGGCCATCGGGATCCGGACCAGTGTAGATCCATTGAAGAGCACTGCAGTAGAAGCATACCATCTTGCGAGAATAATCACCTGCGTGGGCCATGTGTTGCCCGTATACATAGAACTTATTTCATCTTAAGTGGCATAGTATTAGCAGCATATATATATATATATATATATATATTGAATCTCATATAACAGCGGCATATAGGCCGGGACACGTTGGAGGTAGAGGATCTTTTTTATGAACTCCTGATCAGCCTGCAGACCGTCGAAAATTCCTCGCATGTTGTCAGCAGTCAAGGGCGTGTTCGCGAGCTTCAAGCGATCCGGGAAATAGGAATCACTGAATAGGCGACCGTAGGGATCCCGATCCGGATGTCGACCCGAGCCTTGCATTTATAGTTGGTTTGGCCAGGATATATATATATATATATATATATATATATAGGGTTTATAGGGTTTGGGGGTTTTACGGTTTGTCGGTAGTAAATGGGGTTCAGGGTTTATAGCGTTAAGGGGGCTTTGTACATAGGGTTTGTAACATTGGTGATCTCAATTGAAAAAATGGAGGAGCGGTCTTTATAAATAATGTGCCGAGCTGCCCATGGCCTCAAGCGACCAAGCCAACACCTCCAGGATTGCATAGCGTGCATCGTCGTCATGATAACACATATTGATGCACGACAACCTTAATTGACCCAAGCCGTCACACTTTATGTGTAGGGGAGTGACATTGCACATTATTCTCGCCAAGCAACAAGAATCGTGAATCCATTGTGCTGGCCACACCAAGCGGTGCTTGTAGCACGAACAGCTCGAACTTCTGCTTTTCTTAGCTGCCCATAATCGAAAACTATGGTGCATTCGGTTCGTGACATGTACTTGGAATACCAAGTGGCTTGTAAACTCTGCACCATCGCCGTAGAGTCTGAGCGGCACACATGTGCCGAGATCTTCAACAGCCTCACAATTTTATAAGTGCATGTAGCGACCATTCAACCACAGTGTAGATCGATGCAGACCTGATGCCGACATGGAACACTGAGGACGGGATGACTCTGGATCCAGCTCTGATCTTGAATGGCCCAGTATGATCGAATCTTGGCGTCCAGATTCATTATACATGCAGGTTTTTTTACACAAGTTGAAACTCAAATCCTTTAGCCCAGCCACCGAGTCCTTGTCCTGGTACAGCAAATGTGATTTCCCAGATTTGTGCAGCGTCAAAAATATTTCATGTGGCAACAGCATGTGGTGCTTCACAGCCCGTGTAGTCCGGCCGTGGGAGTTCGCATTGACCTGAGGCGATGGACTTTATAACATCGATGGAGATCTTCAGTCTCTCGATCAGCAGAAGCGATATGTCGAGAAATCACGTTGCAGATCAGAGGCAGCCGTGAGTTCAATCCTGGCAAGATCATTGAAGTCTTAACTTATAACACTGTGGGGTGATATGCATGCAGATCTATATAAGTGCAGCAGGGGCTCGCAAAGGATTTGGGAAGAGCTTGGCGCCACGGTTGGCGCTCGAACCATCTATCCAAAAGGCGCATGCCACCGCATGCATTCGGATTCTCTGACCGGAAGCTCACAGCCAAGTCCAGTATATCTGGCCTGCAGGCCAACGGTTCGATCACAGCACCAACCATCATTGAATCAATTTGCTGATAAGCATCGGAACCATATGGTGAGGTAGCCCATGGACTCGTCGTAGGGATTCGGCCAGCTCAGTCAGGGGAACCTGCAAAACTAAATGGTTAACATAGTTATATATATAGGTACCCAATAAAACTCGGGATGGATGGTTCTATGACTAATTAATGCAGCATGGAACCTGTCCATCGGACAAGAGACGAAGGACTTGCTCGCAGGAGTCTTTCACGTAGGATCGTAGCCATGCAGCATGATCGGCAGTCGGCTCGGTCATTCATTTCAGCACAGCCATGCATTTCAGGTTAACTCCAGGGTTTGTCTGTTTGAGTTTGGGGCCCATAGATTTTCGAGAGTCTTAGAGTCTAAGGTTTTAGAAGTATAGACACGAAGACGGTGTATATAACGATTATATAGCTCTACACTCGGTGTATAAGGACTAGTCTAGACATCCTGTTCCATGGTTTGTTTAGAGTATATGATCTTCGAAGATGTACAGGGTTTAGGTTTAAGGGGTGCGTAAGGGGTGCGGGTTTGAGGTTTTGAAGTTTCGGCTCCTAGGTTGGTTGCAGGCCCTCTGGGTTGCATGGATCGAAGCCTGCACACACTCTCATAATCCGATTATACATGCAACTCGTGGATTTCAATTATGCATCGATCTGTCAGTCTTTGCAGTCAGCATCAAGCAGGGGTTTCAGGGTTCAGGGTTTTTCGGGATGTTCTGGAATCACACACTGTTCGCATTAATTGGTCATGAATCAGCTGCGTGCATGGCAGAATCCAAGCGACGATCTCAGGCACTCATCATGATCCTCACCGCCGATGCTGGATGACTGGACTGGACGTCAAAGCTGGGATGCAGTCGAGGCGGCTTTTTGGATTTGAGGGTCCCGCTCCTTCGGTTGGTTGAAAGTGATTGCTTCGATCACATGCTATGCAATTGTCGAGTGCTTTTAACCCAACAGTCATAGCTTCTAGATCCGTTCGATCTAGGTATATATGTCTAGTGATATGCAACAGGCTAGAGTCACAGCTAGTGTCAGCTTTTGGATAGGTTCAACATCGCAGCACTCCGAGGCATGCATGCATGTAAACCCAGTGATAACGTAGCCGCGACTATCATCCCTTCACTCGCTTCGGAGCGGGCTCGGTTTGCTCATCCTCATTGTCTGGCCACTCCTCTTCGGTAGCTTCTTCATTACCATCACCCATATAGTATTCATCTCCATCCACACTCTCGGTGGCATTCTGCTTCTCAGCAGGCTTCTCCTCCTGCTTTTTCTGCTCTTTCTCCCTTTTGCGCTTCTCACTTGCGATGCCTTGCAGTGCTATAGAGACTCAGGACCCGACCACAAGAAACACACCCATCACAAAGCAAAGCTACAACACACTGGTACATATAGATGCAGAGATGATGCGGCGTTGGTGGGATGCCAGGATGTCTTCGGCGTCCGTAATCATCTTCTGGTAGCCCTGCAACGACGAGTAACTGCAAAGGTTGTGTCAGAATAGTCAATACCTGTTGGATAGTTGTACAAGTAGCACCAACATATATCGTGCCTGAAGGGTGGGCTTGTAAAAATCCATCTGCTGCACACAGTCCGACTGGGTGTAGCATTCGAACACCATCTTCTGGATCCTGAGGCGAGAATTAATTTCTATGCGAACGATGGTACCCTCGATGATCGATATCCCTTATAAAGAAGACAAGCAGCTCCCCGTGGATTCTTGAGCACTCGTTGGATGCCACTCCCAACTCCCCAATCAGAGCCTGCGGGCTTTAAGTGGGGCTGATTGCATTCTAAGCCAGGGCGAAGTCGATAATTAGGGGTTTGATAATCTACTCGCTAATTATTGGAAACCAAATACGATTATAGGGTCCTGCTGATTCGGCAACCCAGCCATGGTCAGGCCGGATGCCACAGATACGGCTTTGTCCGACAAGTTCCGCACCCTTGGTTGCACATGGTATGGGCTAGGAGTCGTAGGGGCACATTATTAATTGGGATGTGTACTATATGATATATATATATAGGGTTATTCTAAAGTATCAGACTTAAAGGGCTTGGGATTTCGGGACAATAAAGGTTGCGAACTGCGGTGCCAATTGGTATTCGAGAGGTCTGGGGTTTAGGGTTCATGGGCTGTTACAGGCTCAGAGTTTAGGGGTTTAAGAATTTAAGGTAGCATCTGAATACTAGGTGTTGCCCAACTGCGCTTGCAAGTCCTTCTCGAACTCCTTTTTTTCCTTCTCTTCCGGTGTAGGCTCCTGTATAATCAAGTTATCATGTTGTCACACAAATGTAGCTGGATATTGCAGAAAATGCACGAAGCCTTCTTCTCTTTCTTTTCCTTTTTTTCCTTCTTCTCTTTATATTGTTCGCTTCAGCAGTGGCACTCTTGCCGAAGCTCCCGACTTTGCCCTCGAGCGTCTCTGCCACTGCCTGCCGTTCGGCTCTGTTGCCACTGAGCTCTTGGGTCGCAGTGGTTCGGTTGCCGACTCGATTGATCGTCCCACCTGGGATAAGAGCTTCGAGGCTTCATGTGTATAGGCTATGCGGGATATGCATGAGTGACAGTAGCATGATTGAAATCATACTACCAGAATATGCTGCTAAGCATCTCGATGCTTCGATCTCCTTGAAGATCTTGTAAATGCGCCAATTTGGATCTGCCGATTGTGGGTGGCGCTTCCCCACTTGGCCTCACATATAGATTAGACGAATATATTGTCTGAAGGAGAAGATGTGCAAGTAAAGTCTGAGATTCCAGCTTGCGTGGATGTCTTTGACAAACTGCTCCCCACCGGGGAGATGACCGTACTTTTCGATGATCTGGCATAATGGGAGTTCCACAAACTTCTCTTTCTCGGACTGCTCGCTCATCCTGATTCAAGCACAGCAGGGAGGAGTCCAGTATATGCATGTTGCGTAGAAGCATATGATATGCCAATATAGACAAAGCTCTCTTCGTAATAAGCTTCGACCTGGATGCTGCCCATGTCGCGGTCCAAAAGAAACGCCTTCAAGAAGGCAAACCTTGCAGATCAAGGTTGTGCAACGGTTGTAAAATGACAATGTTTGAATGGCTAGAAACCATGAGTGCTGGTCATCACACATGCAGCCGAGGATGATGCTTGTCCATGGCATTGGTGGTGTTTTGCCATTGTTGCACCAGGCCTTTTTTCAGTCCTGCAGGGATTCTGGATTGTAAGGGCATCGTATAGGGAATTCTCGTTACAGATTAAGACCACTGGCTCCTTTGCCATCTTTCATGCGCCTTCTCAGCCCTTCATTGAGCCTGATATGGGTGTGGGTGTTTGAGAGCAGTGTTCAGAGAAGTTTTGAAGCTAATACGACCCAATCTACATATATATATATATATGCATACCCCATGCAGAAGAATATTTAAGTGCTCACTGCTAGTTATGAGCTAAAGCATCGACGTCCGGCCTCTTCCGCTCCTGCAAGTCGATGTCTTCTGGTTTACTGAGTGCCTCAGAATGTTATTAAGGTGTTGCACAAACCCTATATTCCCTAAACCCTAAAGTCTGATCCCTCATTTCTAAACCCTGAACACACGGCTTGCACACATGAACCCTGAAACCTGAACCCTGACTCTGCAATCCTATTAGAAAGCTATACAAAACACCCTATATATATAAACTACTATATACATATATATATATATATATATATATATATGGAGATTATATATATATATATATACAAATGTTTTAGCTTATCCTTTTGTCTATAACCATCTATCTATCTGTATATGACCTATATCTATATACCTATATATCTATATCTATCTATCTATCTATCTATATATATATATATATATATATATATATATGCATATATAATGTGTAGTTCAGGGCCTAGCTAGGGTTCTGGCTTTGGGCTTTAGGGCCCTGGGTTTGGCTTTGGGTTTCTGGGCCTAGGGTTTGGACTTTTGGGTTTAGGGCCCAGGGTTGGGGCTTTAGGGTTTAGGGCCGTAGGGTTTGGGCTTTCGGGTTTATAAGGCCTATATAGGGTTTGCGTTTTTGGATTTAGGGTATATAGGGTTTGGGCTTTCGCGTTTATAGTGCCGTATATAGGGTTTGGGTTTTTAGGGTCTAGGGCCTAGGTTTGTGGGTGTTCATAGGGCAGGAGTGAATCTTATATGCCGAGGGTTTATAGGCTTTAGGGTTTAGGGCCTAAGGTTTGGGGTTTAATCTTTAGAAATTAAAAGATCATGCAGACAAGGCTGCTTCGATGGCCGCCCGCTCCTCCTCGGTCAGTCGTCGCACCTGGGGCTGGAAAGTTAAACCGGTTTGCCTTTTATGGGATATATCCAGTACTGATAAGATCAAGCTTAGTAGCATCATTGGGGCTGCCATTGAATGTAAACTTTTTCGCGATCGGCTCGATCTCCATGGGGCCCGTTCCATCAGAGATTGAGGAGATACCGGTGTCACTTCGGACCAGCCTTAATTAAGGATGCCCTATAGATATGTAGCAGACACACACATTTGCCATTGCATATATGTACCCATGTAAGCCAAGACTCCGGTTGGCCTTTCCAGCTGACGGGGATCCTATTGGGATGAAGTATAAGTTAACTCTAGGGGTACAATATCAGAAGTACCATTTTTTGCGTTACGATCAGTCCTTCGGCCGAAGTCTGCTCGTCTGCCCACGACAGTCGTCGGACCAGGGTGTCCTTGCTCGTGCCCTTTCCTTTGCCCGTGGCCTTCAGAATTCCGGCCAGCTGTGCCGGATCCTCGTCCTCGCCGTCTGTTCCCTTCGTGGTGCTCTGTGGGCTTGGAGACCTCTTCTTTCCCTTGCCTTTGGCAGTTGTGCTGTCTTGGGTGGTGTCTGTGTCCTTGCCCTTCTTTCCCTTGCCTTTGGCAGTGCTGGTGTCTTGGGTGGTGTCTGTGTCCCCTGCTTGGGGTGAGCCCTTCTTTCCCTTGCCTTTGCTGTCTTGGGTGGTGTCTGCGTCAACTGCTCCGGGTGAGCTCTTGCCCTTCTTTCCCTTGCCTTTGCTGTCTTGGGTGGTGTCTGCGTCCGGTGAGCTCTTGCCCTTCTTTCCCTTGCCTTTGCTGTCTTGGGTGGTGTCTGCGTCCACTGCTCCGGGTGAGCTCTTGCCCTTCTTTCCCTTGCCTTTGCTGTCCTGGGTGGTGTCTGCGTCCACTGCTCCGGGTGAGCTCTTGCCCTTCTTTCCCTTGCCTTTGGCAGTGCTGCTGTCCTGGGTGGTGTCTGCGTCCACTGCTTGGGGTGAGCTCTTGCCCGTCTTTCCCTTGCCTTTGCTGTCGGGGGTGGAGTCAGTGTCCCCTGCTCGGGGTGAGTCCTTGCCTTTCTTTCCCTTGCCTTTGGCAGTGCTGTTGTCTTGGGTGGTGGTTGTGTCCCCTGCTTGGGGCGAGTCCTTGCCCTTCTTTCCCTTGCCTTTGTTGTCCTGGGTGGTGTCTGCGTCCACTGCTTGGGGTGAGCTCTTGCCCTTCTTTCCCTTGCCTTTGCTGTCGGGGGTGGTGTCTGTGTCCTCTGCTTGGGGTGAGCCTTTGCCCTTCTTTCCCTTGCCTTTGGCAGCGCTGTTGTCTTGGGTGGTGTCTGTGTCCCCTGCTTGGGGTGAGCCCTTCTTTCCCTTGCCTTTGCTGTCTTGGGTGGTGTCTGCGTCCACTGCTCCGGGTGAGCTCTTGCCCTTCTTTCCCTTGCCTTTGCTGTCGTGGGTGGTGTCTGCGTCCACTGCTCCGGGTGAGCTCTTGCCCTTCTTTCCCTTGCCTTTGCTGTCCTGGGTGGTGTCTGCGTCCACTGCTTGGGGTGAGCTCTTGCCCGTCTTTCCCTTGCCTTTGCTGTCCTGGGTGGTGTCTGCGTCCGCTGCTTGGGGTGAGCTCTTGCCTTTCTTTCCCTTGCCTTTGGCAGTGCTGTTGTCTTGGGTGGTGGCTGTGTCCCCTGCTTGGGGCGAGTCCTTGCCCTTCTTTTCCTTGCTTTTGTTGTCGCTGGGTTGGTGTCTGTGTCCTCTGTGTCCTCTGCTTGGGGTGAGCCTTTGCCCTTCTTTCCTTTGCCTTTGGCAGCGCTGTTGTCTTGGGTGGTGTCTGTCTCCACTGCTTGGGGTGAGCCCTTCTTTCCCTTGCCTTTGGCAGTCGTGCCGCCTTGGGTGGTGTCTGCGCCGGCTGCTTGGGGTGAGCTCTTGCCCTTCTTTCCCTGGCCTTTGTTGTCTGGGGTGGAGTCTGTGTCTGCTTGGGGTGAGTCCTTGCCCTTCTTTCCATTGCCTTTTGGCAGTGCTGTCGCCTCCCCAGGGTGGTCAGGTGTTCCTTTGGTTCCTTTCTTTCCTTTCTTTCCCTTCCCAGCTGCAGATTGCATGGCAGGATCCGTGGGATCCTGGGTGGATTGGGGCTCCTTCTCCCGATCCTCGCCCTTATCCTTTCCTTTGTCCTTTCCTGCCTTTCCTTTGCCATGCATCCATGAGACCAAAGCTTGCTCTTTGGACTCCCCACTGGTGGCTTTGCCCTCGTACACAAAGCTCCGCGGGCTTGTCTCTACATACAAGTTCCCTTCATCCTCAAACTTTCCTTTCTTTCCCTGACCTTTGGTCGAAGTGGCCATTGCTGGCCTCCTACCGGCCCAGCTTGAGCCACTTGAGCCTGTTTAATACATATTATAGAGGGTGTTTAGGGAAAGCCCTTATATATAAGGTCTTTTATCATAAGTCATGACATACAGTCGCAAGTTCAGTGTAACTCGGTCACTAGGGATACACGCAGATACACGCAAAAGGTGCCTCTATAAGGTCGAATACACGCAGATACACGCAAATACACGCTGTCGGTGGGTGCTGTTGATTTTCAGAATTCAGCCACCGATCTCGTATCAGCATCGAAACTCTAGGCGGATGCAAGCCTTCAGGATAGCTCGAGCGCATGACACATGAGGTTTCGTACACTTATATCTTATCATACAACTCGATCACATCCCGAATTCCTTGCAACCGTGGAGCACTGCTTGCTACTCCCGCCTATGATGCCGGAGCACCAATCACATCCTCAAGACCTGAGTCATCATCCGAGGAATATCCGCCATCTTCGAATACCACTTCCTCCTCGTCCAGCCGCTTTTGGCTGGAGCTCGGCAACGACTGCAAGTGGTCGTCAATAGCTTCGGCTACCTAAGTATTAGGTTTTAGGGGTTTAAGGGTTAGGGGGGCTTATAGGGGTTTATAGGGGCGTAGGGGTTTAGGGGTTTAGGGCTTCGGGGTTTGGGGTTTAGGTTTAGGGTTTATAAGGAGGTTCACATGTAATCGAGGTATCCGGTGATGCCATCTCCTGCTGCATCATATTAAGATCAGCATGAGAGAGGGACAGAGAGAGATAGCGGGGGAGAGAGGGAGAGAGAGAGAGAGAGAGACTGTCAGTCAGTCGCGAAGCAAAACCCAACAATTCCGATTCGAGTCCGAGACACTTGCATTGCAAATCGCCCCGGGTAGCATTGCGTACCCTTCAAATCCTTTCCTCCCGCCTGGGATCACTGGTTCATGTGGGTGGCTTCAAATGTATTAGAATCAAAACTAAACACTGCAAGCCCATAGAGAAGCCACTGACCCAGATCATCCAAGGTTCTCGTCGCTGCCGGCCTTGATCATCTTCCCACTTCTTGAAGACATCCAGCTTCATATAACTCCGGATTCGCTGGATCTGTTGCCTGGCTTTACTATTAAGACGATTCCATATATAGGTGAAACATCATGAAGATGTGCAATTGTGTTGCCATTCTTTCAGTGGCCTCCTGGGTGCCGAAAGTCGGCTGTAGAGCTTGTTCAAGAAGGGGGCCGTGCCCACCAAGGTCACCTCAATAAGATGCTGGACTTGAGGCTTAGGTGTCGAATCTAGGAGTCTTGGGGCTGAAAGTTGACAGTCTATAGTCCAGGGGAGAGACCGAAGTTCAGGGTTTAGGACCTTTATGTTACTCAGTGTTCAGTGGCGCAGGTGGCGGAACAGGTCGAGCAGGATGGGCATATATATATATATATATATACATATAGATAGGTGTCTACATATCCAATAGACATGTGTCGTGACGTCATTGAAATGACGTCACGACACATGTCTATTGGATATGTAGATACCTATCTATTGTTTGGTTCTATTGACGGATTAGAATCGACATATGTATTGGGTTCAGAGTTAAGGCTAAGGGCTATTTGGGGATTTGGATAGTGTGGCAATTAAGTTTTCTAGGGTTGGCTTTAGCACTTTAGGGCTTCAGGGTTCAGGGTTTAGTTAGGGTTTAGGGATACGAAATAAAACCAAGCCGCACATTTGGTGCTCGGTGCTCCCACTGCCCCAAGGCACACGTTCACTGTTTTGGCGCCGTGGGCTTTCAGACGATCCTGGGTTCTTCGGTTTAGATAACACATAAAGCAGACCAGCATGTTGGCCAATAAGGTCAAGGATCCTTGATTGCAGGGTAGTCGAAAATCAAAGAGCTCACTGGATTTTCAATAATGTAGTATTGTCCAACTCGCCAATGATACTCCAGCCTCGGGTGTTGCAGACATCGATCTTACAAGATTTAGATTCGATTCAAAGGAATGCTGAGATCTGATGTTGGAAATTTGACATCAAGCTCAGCCTGGTGACTGCATCCAGAACGAGCATGCTGGCATGATCTTGTGTGCACGACTCGGCAATCTCATGATCTACGAAGAATTATGAAGAGAGATTGTGCGGCGGCATGACATGCTCGGGAGCGTACATGCTACAAGTTCCTAACCCTTCACGTATAGATTTGGTCGCGATCATTGGGGCTTGTGTGTGTGTATAATATAATCGTAGAATCGAATAGGTTACGATTGTTGTTATATAATTCAATAAGATGATAGGCCAAAGAGCAGGTAGGCCAATCTTCTGGCGATCCGATTACCATCTGCAACTTTCTGGCTCGTTTCCGAACCTGGTCATATGTCCGAATCATATCACGAAGTCGTGCAGGCACATGCCTAAAAATGATGCCGGGACACCTTTAACATTCAATCGCCGTCTCTTGGTCGTCCCTCGGCTCCTTAGTAGATACATGTCATGACGATCAGATCAGTACTGGGAACTGTCGTTAACAGCAACGACCATATTGAAACCCAGACACATGAAAACCCATGTTGAACACGGCGTGCCATACCAGCAAACCCCAGAACGTCGTAGTCTCCTGACCTCATATATCATAGGTGGTGTGAAGCGATCTAGAACTGGTTGTGCACACACAAGACATGTAGGCGAGTTGCATTGTGCAGCGTGGCAAGAAAACCGAAGGCCGTCAGGATGTCCAGTTTGGAGCTGTATTGGACCTTGGTTTGTGATGCGTGCAAGTCACAATTTTTTAAGGTCATAATGACAATATGTGGTTATAGATTGTGCAAAGCTGCGTCCAAACCATGGGCTTTGAGGCCGTAGTGCAAGGCTGCCGATGTCAGAACATGGCTTCCTGGATATGTCGCTTTGGGCACAGCAGGATTAAATCTAGAGCACCGAAGCTTGAAACCAATCCGTCCTGCAAAGATCTCCAAGAAGTCCAGCTCTATCTCTGGCCCCACTTTACCAAAGCCTCAGGTATTGCCAAGTGGCAGAGCTCTTGCACGTGCCGTACTGTGACTCGCGGCAAGCATGTTTGACTAAGTCGTGCACTCAAATAAAGGCATGCCAGCAGGGCAGCAAGGCGAGAGTACTTCATTATTGTATGTGGTACGATGACACTACTTTCTGATTCCAGGCAATATGTCGATCCTGTTCCGTGCTTCTTGTTTCTTCTAAGCGGCTGCGGGTGAACCACAATAGACAGTGTGTTGCATGCCGGCAAGGCAACAGCTTGGCATCGACTACAACAATCTTCGAGGCATTATTTTGCTCGGTGTGAAAGCAACGAAGCATGCCTTGTCCCCCCATGCAGAAAATCAAATTAGACACGAAAAAGCCAATAGCCACTGTCGGCCCTCAGCTCGCGTCGATTAAAGGGGTTGCAGCACGTAGCCTCGTTCTAGATGTATCGCCTTTTCTTTTGCTCCTGAAAGCTAAAGTTCTTCAGCACTTCGTCCCGTTCTTCGGAAGTCTTCCACCTTAATGCGTATAGGGTTTGGGAGGGTGCGGGTATATGCAGTGGTGCTTACCGGTAGATCGAATCAACACATCAGACCGGGACCTGGCCTCAGCTCCTTCTCCTTGCCACTAAGGCTGGGGTCCAACCTTAGATCGAGTAAACCATACACCCCGAACCCTTCATGTAAAACCCAGAGAGGATTTGCAAGTCTGCTGAATTTGTCTGGGAGACGATGCGAGATAGGCCTTCCTCGTGATGTTGTAGATAGTATCTTCGCGCTTTCTGCGTGCAGCACCCTGGTCCTTACTCTTCGGCTTTGTAGCCGGCTTCGCGCCGGTGCTCGCATCTGCATTGCTTGGATCTGGAACTGCAACAGCTGGCGTGCTCGTAACGGATGTCTTCTTCTGCGATGCCACCAATAGCCGCTGTCTATGGGGGTTGATAGCCGAGATTGCTTTCTTACTGCAAGCTTCAATAGCCTTTTCGAACCCCTCGAACAAGGGCTTCGAAAAGTGAAGGTCAGTGATAGAAGCATCAAGACGGAATTCCTTAGCTACTGCATGCATTATACAGTTGCAGCAAACCTTCGTAATTCTATCGACCGAACGATGCTCCCCAGCCCAAACCCTTTTTGCTCCATCATGCACGAGCTGCGGCAGGTCCCTCGGTGGATCGCTCGCCAGCATTCGGCCTGTTCGCATGAGTCAAAAAGGGAAGGGCTCGAGTGCACCACATTTACACCACATTGGATTTTAGAGACCTTGCAATATAATTACAGGGAGTGGAGATTCAATAGACAGCTCCTGGGATGTGTCTAGAATACAGATCGAAGCCCTGCCTAGTGTGTGAGTCGAAGCCAGTAAACCAAATGAAATTATAGTCCCTGAATTATAAACCCGGGGCAGCATAAGAATATCACCATTAGCCTTAGCATTTATGTTGTCCAGCCTTCGCAAAGGGCTTCGACGAGTGTGGCTCGTTGGCTTTGCCATCCGCCAGAATCGCCAGCACATTCTTGACCTGGGCTAGGGAGATCTAGAAGTTGGGGACAGGGTGAAGATAAACCCTAAACCATGCTCTATCTACCAGCTATGACAGCAGCATGCTTTAACGAAATCCGAAGATTATTGATGTTCTCAATAAAGTGTGCTGCCAAAGCTTCCTCCTTTGAAGAGGATGCCTTTTCGGGCCCTGGGTCATCACGGGGCTCCTCAGCATCATCCCGGGGCTCATCATCCTTAGGTTTTCGTGCTTAACTATTACCAGATATATAGCCTATGTATGGTTCACAGATTCGAGAAGACTCGTGTAAAATCAGTGCAGCCAAAGTGGCATCATGATTTGCAGGCTCCGGTGCCGAAGCCTGTCACAGACACAAAGCAGATGGATCTATGCGTACACACACACACACACGTACCTCGTGACGAGGAACGAGTTACGACTATGTGTGCTAGCTAACCTATTACTACTCGGAGCTATCGAAGGTAGCTTCGCTAGAAACGAAGTTTCGTTCGCTATCGTCG